CTCTGTCTCTCCTTTCTGAATATCTGCCTTTCCAATAAAACAAAACAACAAAAAAAAAGAAATGTCTGATCATTCTGATGACTAAATACTACTAAGTGTTTTTCTCCAAAGCTCTAAATTTAGTTTTACTTGGCCTATCTGGGACTTATCCCTTTACCACTGCTTTGAGGTTACATTAAATTTAACTCATTTAGCAATTCCTTAGGACTGTGCCTCTGAAGGGTTTTTCCTATCATCTTTCCCTAAGTGCTTCATTATCAAGAGGATAAGAGTCTACAGCAATACATTTCAGAGCAAAATCAATCAAATGGTGATGGAAAGTGAATGCAGGAAAGAAAAAAAACATTGTATTAAAAAATAGTAAGATCTTCCACCCGCTGGTTCACTCCCCAAGGTCTCAGCATCCAGAGCTGAGCTGAAATGAAGCCAAGAACCAGGAGTTTCCTCCGGGTGCTCCAGAGCTCAAAGGCTTTGGGCATTCCTCCACTGCTTTCCCAAGCTGCAAGCCGGATGGTAAATGGAACAGCAGAAACACAAACCAGCACCCATATGGGACTGCAGCAGTTTCAGGCAAAGGCTTATCTAATTGAGCCATTGTGCTGGTCCCAGCATTTTTTGTTTGTTTTTTATTTTATTTATTATTATTTTTCTCAGTATTTTAAAAAAAAGTAATAAATTCCTATGAAAAGCAAAAGGAGGGAGTAGGTGAAGAGAAGAAGCTAATGAATAAAAACTAAATGAGGAGGCATAACATGAAAATAAAAACCTAGAGGGGAATGGAAGAGAGAGAAGAAATGTTCTAAACGGTTGGACAGAGCTTATTAAGATTCTTTGGTTTCGTGCCTAGTTTTAAGACACTTGTTCACTTACTGGTTGTTTTAACATTATACATGGGAAAGGATTCCACCACTTACAATTTTTATCCTAATCACTGTTTTATTTGAAAGCTTTATCCAAGTCAACAGACTTCTCCTGTGAACAATCTCCTTTTTTAAGCACCATTGTCTTAAAAAAAAAAACTTTAAAAAAGATTCGTTTTATTTATGTGAAAGGCAGAGTGGCAGAAAGAAGGAGAACGAGAAAGGTATCTTCTATCAGACAGAGCAGCAACAACCAAGTCTGGGTCAAGTCAAAGCCAGGCGCAAGGAATTTCATTCTGGTCTCTCACATGGAACTACTTGAGCCATCCTCTGCTGTGTGTATCAGCAGGTAGCTGGACCAGAAGCAGGAGTCAAAACTTAACTACTGCTCAGAGAGGGTTGCCAGTGTTGCAAGTGGCAGCTCAACGTGCTGCCCCACAGCTTCAGTCCCATGGGTAACTTTTTTTTTCTACAAATTGATGAGGACAACTGCTTATTTCCATAAAGTGATACCACAACATAAACTCCTATTTTTCATTCAGATATGAGGAAAGTTCATAAAAAAATGGAATTCAAAGGCAATTATTTTGGTGCAAACATTTTTAAAATCCACACACAGGTTTTTCATGTCATGCATTTTCTACAAACTTTTTGAAGATCCTCCTCATACTCAAATCAGTCCACTAGTTTTAAGAAGCATACTAACTCTGCTTGGATACCGATATGTCTCACAGAGGAGCCTACAGCTCTTCTGCCAAAGCTTATGTATTTGAAAGCAGACTCTTCTCTAACAGCTCAAGATGTCTACCATTAGTCAAAGGAGTCAATGAACTTGGAAAAAAAAAAGCATGCCTTAATTCCAAATGTTAGATCTCAAATTTATGAAATGTTTTAATTATTGGCTTAATTATATAATATATAAATATATAGATTTGAATTATAGCTACCAGGTCCTCTATGTCATTCACAGTTGCCTTGAAAATAATCAGAAATCAATTCAATATATTAATTCACATGTTCTGCATTGCTAGATGTAACAAATCTAATACCATATTCATTTCTTTTTATTTCTTTGAGACATATGTATTTACTTGAAAGAGTTACAGAGAGAGAGAGAGAGAGATTTCTTCCACCTACTAGTTCACTCCCAGATGGCTGGATCAGCTAGCACGGTCCAAGCCCAAGCTCAAGCCAGGGGCTAGGAGCTTCATCAAGGTATTCCATGTGGGTGGCTATCTCCACTAATTTCAAAGTTCAAAACTAAATGCTATGTTAAAAACCTAGAACAGTAAACCATTAAAAGTTGAATTTATTTTGTACATTTATCCTTCTAATCTAATAAGACTTTTCAAAGAGTTGTTCACTGAATATTAAGATCTCATTAAGATACTATTGCATTTGATAAATGTTTAAGGGAATGCTATAGTCTTCAAAGTTACCAATTTTTAAAAGGAGACTTATCTATTTGAAAGCCATAATCAGAGAAAGAGAGAAACTCTACCCGCTGGTTCATTCTCCAATTGCTGCAAGGGACAGGGTGTGGCGAGACTGAAGCCAGGAACTTCCTGTGGGTCTTCTGCATGAATGGCTGGGGCCTAGATACTTGGGCCATCCTTTGCTGCCTTCCTGGGCCACCAGTAAGGAGCTGGATCAGAGTGGAGCAACTGGAACGCAAACTAGCGTCCCTTTGGGATGACAGCATTACAGGCAGCGGCTTAACTTGCCACACCACAGTGCAGGCCCAGTTATCAGGGTTAAGGCTTTATAATCTGGTTTTCATCTACCCAGATAAAACATATCATGAGGGCCTGGCGCGGTGGCGCAGTGGTTAAGGTCCTCGCCTTGCACGCCCGGGATCCCATATGGGCGCCGGTTCTAATCCCGGTGGCCCCCCGCTTCCCTTCCAGCTCCCTGCCTGTGGCCTGGGAAAGCAGTCGAGGACGGCCCAAGGCTTTGGGACCCTGCACCCGCGTGGGAGACCTGGAAGAGGCTCCTGGCTTCAGATCGGCATAGCATCAACCGTTGCGCTCACTTGGGGAGTGAATCATCAGACTGAATATCTTTCTCTCTGTCTCTCCTCTCTGTATATCCGCCTTTCCAATAAAAAATAAAATAAATCTTTAAAAAAAATATCATGAATTATGAATGTATAATAATGGAATTAATACATGAAAACTAAGCACAGTCAGCCACTGATTATCTAGGTAATAAAATCCCAAAGTTAACACCAGACAGAACACAGAAACTTTTGTTAGGTTTCTGAGTGATTTCTGTTTTTCCTACAAAATGATTTTATCAGGATTACTGTTCGGCAAGTATTTGATTAATTTGATTCTGTGATTCTTATTTAAAAGTTAAAAATTATCAAAATGTATTTACTCAAGAAATTTTGCAAATAGTCTAGATATTAGAAAGACTTGAAAAAAATAAAATACCACCACTCATCATTAAGTTGCTTGTCTTTCACTGTCCTTTTGTTTCCGTATCACATATAAAAAAGTCTAGCATGTCTCTATTTGTTAAGGAGGAATTAATCTTAGTGAAGTAGAAACCACAGGAGTATTTAGTAGACCACAATGGGATGCCACACTGGGACACGGGTGGAGCATTTATTTCTTATATTTATACACAAACAAGGCTTCATCTGTTTCCTTTTGCTGTTGTAATCTGATGTGCATTTTCCTCAGAACCTGCTTTGGCAGCAGCAGAGAAAGACAGAAAGAGACAGAGGTCAATCTCTCAGTGGTTGGTCCATTCCCCAGGGTGGGCCAGGGTGATGTCAGGAGTCAGAGCCTCCATCCTGGTTACCTATGTGGGTGGCAGGAACCCAAGTACTTGAGCATGACCTGCTGCCTCCCAGGGTGTGTGTCAGTGGAAGCTTGGAATGGAAAGCAGAACAAGAACTCGAACCAGGAAACGGGGAGTTCCAAGCAGCATGTTCTAGATTTTATTCTGCTAGCTGGACAGTGGTCCCAGAGAGCTCTTTATGTTTCCTATATACCTTTCCTATTTGAAACATCTTACTTAAAAAAAGAAAAAAAAAAGTAAATTACTTAACCAGTAAAAATCTAGCTGTGCTGATACAAATAAATGGAATTAATCCTTGACTTCAGTTCTACAAATCTATTGCTGAATGACTCATTCTGTGGTGCAAGCACCCCAGTTTGTGTAACATAAGAAAAAATATTTTTGCATATATTTTACCTATTTTTGTAAATATTTTACCTGGGAACATTTCAGGTAAAAATACTACTATAAAGAAATGTATCACATTCAATCATGAGATAGTTAGGAGCAATACTTATAAACTTTCCTTGAAAGTCACCTATATACATATATTTTTATTAAAGAGAAAAGAAAACAGTTTAGGTCTGAACAGGTTTTCTGCAGCTTCATGAATCAAAGAGAATGTCTAAATCTTTCTCTTAAACAGTTGTACAATCAGCAATGATTCAGAGGTTTTCCTCTGCCTTGCACATATTTAGCAACCCTGTAATGAATATCCTTTTAAAACGATTTTTCTCTTAATTTGTGACCCTATTATATAAGTCCCTATGAGGTTAAGAAAATGAGCTATATGCATAGTCATCAGTTTGGTCTCTGGCTATTCATGACAAATAAAAGCACTGACTTCAAAAGAGTTTCTGTCGAAGTGTTGCCGTATGAGAACGGAACCACCAGCATAATGGAAGAATCCTGAGACTGCTGGAAAATGAGGAAAATACACATCCAAATCTAAAAGGTTAAGTCAATTCCTAAAAATGGCACTATTTATGAAGTCAACAGTTCTAGTTCAACACCATGTATTTAGCAGTTGCCCAAATTCAGTAAATTATTAGTAAAGTGCCTTTGAATTATAAACAAGAGTCCTCGTAGTACTCATCTTCTACAAGGGCAACAACTTAAAAGCTCATGTAACCTTACATGTAAAATTACAAGTCAAGTCAAACAAAACTGTGAATGGCATATTAATGCACCTGAAATAATTAAGTTTTCAATTCATTCTTCACAAACTAGCAAACATTCCAAAGTCATGAACATGAAAACTCTTACATCCAAACTCTTATAAAATACTCAGATTCACCTGTAAACTTGCCTTGCCTCTGTCAAGACCTTGTTTCTCTGCCTTCTATTACTCACCAACTGCATCTGGATTTACCGGTCTGGAGACATCAGCTTGCCCCATGATTAAATTGTCTGATGTATCTCACGACAACAAACTCTCCTGGGCAAAAGCAAACTTCTTAAAAAGACAAATCCACGTAAGGAGGGGACACACAATCCTCTCTTGGTGTCACTGCCAAACAAACACCAGGAAATGGCACGAGCTCAATTAATCCGCCAGAGTTTCCATGCCCCCGTGTTCAGGTCTGGCCACTTGCAGTGCTTTCAAATATGTCTTCACACTGGCTCTCTCCGCTCAGGAATGCCTGTCATTCCAGAGTGTACACTGCGTACGGCTGAAGTGCAGGAAGGGGAGGAGACTGCCAACCACATTCTAGCTGCTGAGCGGCACGGCCCAAAAGTCCACACCTCCTTTTCCTGACTTGGCGCTCAGCTGGAACTCTCCAAGCTCCACATAAGAAAGGGAGCCTGCTCAAGAGAACAGCCAAGAAGAATTTGTAAATTCAGGCACACAAAAACATCAGCGAGGTTATGAGCAGCATGCTTATGGAAACAGAAGCCCTTCAAAGGTTTAAGACAAACGCATACTTCAAAATGTCAGATTGTTCACAGGCTGAATATACACCTGTGATATTGTAAAATATATTAGTCTTCCTTAAAGTCCATTTGCTGCCAAAGGACTCGTAAATCTCTTAGCATCTTCGAAGTAAGAGTGGTTTTTGGTAAGCTGCTTTATCAAATGGCTGTTGGCAATCCTTAGCTAGCTTCAGAATTGGGACTGGGCTCCACAGAAAAATCAAAGCAAGATTAGAGATTTGAAAATTTCAGCCAGTGGATTCTGAATAGGTTTCGTCGCTATTGCAATGGCAAGTTTGGCAGCAATTCAGACCTGTTGAACTATCAAAACTGCTTGAGCAGGACCCTCGGAGCGTGCCTCACATTGGGGACCTAGGATGGGTGGGAGGCTGGTTGGGGCTTTTCCCTTTGTTCCCCCCTGACTCCAGATACAGGGAAAAAAATGATTAGTGTGGAAACAATGGTATTTCCCACTTTCCTGTAGCTCTTGATCCTTTGTACCCTAATCAACTATATAAGATCATTTAAAAATAATTAAAAAAAAAAAAAGAAAAAAAGAAAATTTCAGCCCTACCTCCCAAACACAGGAGGGAAGAGAGGCTGAAGGGTCAAGTTGGATACCAGCAGCCAATGAGTTTATCAATCACGCCTATGAAACAAAGCCTCCTTAAAAATCTCAAAGGACTACATGTGGAGAACTTCCTGAACAGCCAGCCACTTGGAGGCTCCTGGAGGGTGGTGTGCCTGGAGATGGCCCAACTCCTCATCCGGTATTTCATCAGGATCCTTTGTAATAAATATCCTTTGTAATGAACTTATAAATTAAGGCTTCCCCTGAGTTTTGTGTATCCTTACAGCAAAGCAATTGAACCCTGGGAAGGGACTGTAGGAATCCCAATTTGTAGCTGATTACTCTGAAGCCCTGGGACAAACACCCTGGGGTTTTGACTGGCATTTGAGATTTATAGCAGCAGGCTTGGGGACTGAGTGAGGGCATCTTCAGGTAGATGCCATAAGAAATGAACTTAGAGGACGCTCAGCTTGCGTTCACAGTCCACCGCTCCAGCTTCACAGGGGAGAAGGAACTCCCCCCACCTGCTATCATAAGCATGTTCCAAGAGTACAGAGGAAGTCTGAGATTTTCCCCCACATTCTCAGGAGGTGGAAATGCTAACCACCAATGTGATAATGCTAAGGAGATAACACTTTGGGAGATAATTCGGTCATGAGGATGGACTCTGTAAATGGCTGAGGCCTTACTAAAAAAGCTCCCAGGGCCCAACATTATAGCTTAATGGCTAAATCTTCACCTTGCGAGCACTGGGATCCTATATGACACAGCTTCATGCCCAGGTTGCCCCGCTTCCCATCCAGCTCCCTGTTTGTGGCCTGGGAAAACAGTCGAGTATGCCCCAAAGCCTTGGGATTTGTACTCGATAGGAGATCCAGAAGAAGTTCCTGGCTCCCGGCTTCAGATTGGTTCAGCTCTGGCTTTTGCAGCCCCTTGGGGAGTAAACCAGTAGACTCAAGATCTTCCTCTCTGTGTTATTATGAATGCTTATGATTTAAGTCAATGAGTCTGCGGTTTTTTGTTACATCAGCCGGAACAGATTAAAACATATAGCTTGTTCTAAAACTGTATTTTCTACCTGTGAGTAACATACAAAGCCAAAGGGTATATATTACTAAGAATTAATATTAGGAGTCACCTTTTACAACTAAGTATACTGGGATCCCATATGTGTGCCTGTTAGTGTGCTGTTGCTCCACTTCCCATCCAGCTCCCTGCCTGTGGCCTGGGAAAGCAGTGAAGGATGGCCCAAAGCCTTGGGACCCTGCACCCACGTTGAAGACCTGGAGCAAGTTCCTGGCCCTTGGCTTCGAATCGGACCATGTCACCACCGGCTGTTGTGGTCACTTGGAGAGTGAATCAGTGGACGGAAGATCTTCCTCTCTGTCTCTCCTCCTCTCTGTATATCTCACTTTGCAATAAAATAAACAAATCTTTAAAAAAAAGTGATAATTTCTACAGTTGTTACAGTAGAAAAGGCAAATCAAGAAAGGAGAGGGTAGATCAGGAGCAACCAGATGACAACACACTTTAAAAAACAAAAAAATAACCCTCAGTAATTACAAAGAGATTAGTCAGAAACGGAAGAGGATGACATTTCTGTGCCATGAACAGACAGTGCGCACTGAGTGAGCAGACCAGGAAGGAAGTCTACTCACAACAAGGTTGGTGTTCAGAACCACTACACAGATGGAAGGGTCCAGAAAATAGCATTATCGCTTAGATCTGGGTACATTCCGATCAGACACATTAAACAGTGACCTCCCCCACTCCACACACATACATATACACACAGAGCCCAGAAATAATACCTTAGAATCTAGTTAACAGAGACAGGAACATACAGAAGAGATTCATGAATCCGGATATAGCTGCTAAAACCACCTATCATATTTTCGTCCTTTATTTATTTCAGGGAAAGAAAAACTAAACTGAAAGAGAGATAAGAGAGCATCTATTCTTTGGGTCACTTTCCAAATGCCCATAATGGCCAGGGGACCAAAGCTAGAGCCAGAATCTCACTTCAGTTTTTCCACAGGGTGGCAGGAATCCAATTACTTGACTCGTCACTGCTGTGCTCAGCATTTGCTTAGCGGGAAGCTACGGTCAGGAGCTGATGGTGGGAATCTAAGCCAGCACCGTCACGTAGGCTGTGGGCAAACCAAGTAGCATCTTAACTGCAGTGTCAACCTCCTGCCCTGAGAGTTCCCTTACTGTTGCTCAGCTAATAAGAGTCCCCCTTTAAATGTTCATTTATCTATTTATTAAAGACAGATAAATACAAAACTCCATTTTCTGGTCTCACTCAGTGGCTTAATGGTTGTTGCTGCTGGGCAGAGGTGAAAGTTGGGAACACAACCCAAATCTTCCAGAAGGACAGCAGGAGCCTAACCACTTCAGTCACTACCCTGTCTCAGGGTTGGCATCAGAAAGAAGTTGCAGTCAAAAACTGGAGCCAGGAATTGAATCCATGAACTTTGAAGTGGGATACAGGTGCTTTAACTGCCAAGCTAAAGGTTCACTCCAGATACTCTCTTTTGAGAGTACTTTTTCCCACTGCTTAGGAATGGGAGAAACAGAACTGAAATTTGTGAATCTCTTCATATTTAGGGAAAGTGCATTCAAGCTGTATAAAAGGATATATTAGGCAAAGAAATCCAAGGTACAATTTAGATTTAGTACTTGAAGTCCTCTAACTAGAGCACTGAAGAATATTTTCTTTTCCTATGTCTCTTCTTTCTTTCTTTTCCCTCTTAATTTCAAAGAAAGATAGATACAGAGAGAGAGAGAGAGAGAGAAAGATCTTATCTTTCATCTGTTGATTCACTCCCTAAATGCCTACAACAGGCAGTGTGGGGCAAGACCAAAATCTAGAGCCCCAAAGTCCATCCAGGTCTCCCACTCGGGTGACAAGGACACAGGTAGGTGAACCATCATTTTTTTGCCTCCCAGTATGTACATTAGCAGGAAGCCAGATGGGAAGTGGAAGAGCTAGCCAAGTACCTGGGACTTGAACCAGGCATTCAACAGGGAGAGTGATCATTTCACATGGCATCTTATCCATCATGCCACAATGCCTACTCTCCAAGAACTCTTTCTAAATTCTGCATATAACCTATAAGGAGCTAAGCATGCCAACAATGCTTTTTCCTAAAATTGTAAATTTGGTGCCAAGCGCAGTGGCCTATCAGATAAAGCCCTTCCCTTAAACAAGCCAGGAACCCATATGGGTGCCAGTTCTGATCTCGGCTGTTCCACTTCCCATCCAGCTCCCTGCTTGTGGCCTGGGAAAGCAGTTGAGGACAGGCCAAAGCCTTGGGAGCCTGTACCCGTGTGGGAGATTCGAAGCTCCTAGTTCCTGGCTCCTGGCTTTGGATCGGTGCAGCTCTGGCTGTTGTGGTCACTTGGGGAGTGAATCATTGGATGGAAGATCTTCCTCTCTGTCTCTCCTCTCTGTATATCTGCCTTTCAATAAAAACAAATCTTAAAAACATCTAAATCTGCTTAGTTCTACAAGTTGGTACTCAACAGAAAAACTTAAGGTGGTCATCAACAACACAAGTTGCTGCAAAGCAGGCCACATACACAGAAACTAAATTCTTCATTAGTAAGCCAGGTATTAATGTATTCCTGCCCTCCACTCATCTAAACCCTACTTTGCTAAAGTTGTTTATGTGGAGTAGACAGCAGTATTGTGTAGCCGGTTAAGCTGCCAACTGTGATGCCAGCATCTCTTACAGGTACCAGCTGGTGTCCTGGCTGCTCCACTTATGATCCAGCTCTCTGTTAATAACCTGGGAAAAGCAGTGGAAGATGGCTCAAGTGTTTGGGTCCCTGTCACTCCCATGAATGGCTCAGAAGGTTGTAACTCCTGGTTTCAGCCTGGGCCAGTGCTGGCCAATGCAGCCATCTGGGGAATGAATCAGTGGATGGAAGATCTTTGCCTCTCCCTCCCTTTCTCTCTTTTTAAAATAAATCTATAAATCTTTCTTTTAAAATCTCATTTATAAGGAGTAAGGCACTGAGGAATATCTTTACTAAATTCTATCCAGAATATTGGAAAAACTTCACCATCCTTTTCCTGAACAAAACATAGTTGGTTTTATTTTAAAAAAAAAGACTTATTATTATTATTATTTTTTTTTACAAAGTCAGATATACAGAAAAGAGGAGAGTCAGAGAGGAAGAACTTTCATCCACTGATTCAATACCCAAGTGAGCGCAATGACCGGTGCTGTGCCAATCCGAAGCCAGGAGCCAGGAACTTCTTCCAGGTATCCCACACGGGTGCAGGGTCCCAAGGCTTTGGCCTGTCCTCAACTGCTTTCCCAGGCCACAAGCAGGGAGCTGGATGGGAAGTGGAGCTGCTGGGATTAGAACTGGCACCCATATGGGATCCTGGCACTTTCAAAGCGACGACTTTAGCCGCTAGTTCACCGCACCGGGCCCACAAAGCATAGTTTGAATTGTCTTATTTTATGCTAGTCATTGGGTTTTGCTACAGAAGAGAATGAAACCATAACAGCCTTTCACTGTTTTTTTTTTTTTTTTTTTAACGTTTTCCATTTTGTGTGTGTTAGACTACTTTTAGTAAAGCCAGAGAGAGAGAAACAAAGAGAGATCTCCTGTGCTCAGCCTCACACCTCAAATTCTTGCAAGAGGGGGCTGGGCCAGGATGAAATTAGGAGCCCAGAACTTA